AATGCCCCCGCCCGCCTTGCTGGCTGGGGCATTCTGGGAGTTGACGCCCACACATCTTAAAGTGGCCAAGGTTGAAAAACACTGGTCTAGTGCAATGTAGGTGAAGTCAGCTTATCTGCACTGGCTGTTTAAATCCTGTTTTCTCCTAGTGTTTGCTCTGCGCCCTGCACCACCAGCTTGCCGTCTGAATCACTTCGTGGTCTTTCACAGTCTTTAGTTTGTCCTAGAAGACAAGCCAGGAGTGGGGTGACCACCAGGAGGGTGGTCTTTCCGCGTGGCGCTGGCTCGCTCACACCTACGTTCTGACTCTGAGGAGCGTGACTAGCGGACGTACCGAGTACCCTCCGAGGCATCCCAGGCCATAATAACTGTGACTGAACAAAGAGATGAAGCAACTGAACGCAGGATTAACGGATGCTTTAGGTGAAATATAAAACGCGCCACCAGAAGACGCATGCCTTTCGCGGCGTACACGTGGTCTTCTAGACGGCTGCAGTGATTTTCCACAAGGACTTTGATAGTCTCCGTATAGTTTTCATTTGTTAAGAGGCATCCATTGTTCGGCTCTTCAAAACGACAACGGAAGTAGCGATACGTGATCGTTCTTGGGAAGCAGGAGAAGCGTCTCTTCAAGTCCCAGAGACCGTCCTTTCCCAGGCTGCGTTTATCGGGGAAAGATGGCCAGCTTTAGGCCTTTCCCAAGCGCTGGAGACGCGATTTCAGGAGGAGGAGATGAAGATCAGGAGGAGAAGCGTCCGCAGGGCCTGCCAACGACATCAAAACGGGGGGCACAACCGGGCAATTGAAGCCCCTCTCTCTTCCTGTGTGTGCCACACATGTTCAAGGGGGTGGGGCATCAACTGCACCCCACCCCCACCCTTTGATTTATTTATATTTATCAGACAATTGCATATGCTGCTGCAATCACAAGACTCTTAACACACACCAAAGAAGTACAACAAACACGTGCGCACACACACAAATACGGTAGACAAAGGCCAGACAAAATCTATGGCATCGGGCCCCCAAAGCTCTCCGTCTTCAGCTTTTTCTGGAAGACAGACCATATTGGGGAGAAGCAAATCTCCCACGGGAGGTCATTCCAGAGGCCGGCCCCAGGACTGAAAAACAGCGCTTCCAGGCAGTGCCCCCAACCTCCCAGCTTATCCCAGCAGGATCAACACGGATGGGCCGACTCCAGCGGGGAGACGTGGTCCTGCAGATAGCCAGGCACCAGGAAGGGCTTCCTAGGCTGAGACCAGCTGGGATGCCACGGTGGAGGGCACTGGAGGCTGCTGAAAGGGCCGAAAGGCCAGGACAGGCCCTATCCCACCCGGGTTCCAACATAGGCCAGCACCCAGAGCGACCGATGCCAGCTCTGTCCCATGCCTGGGTCTGAACCCTGACGGATGTGAGATGTTGATGCCTGTTTATTTTATTTATTTATGTATTCATATATCACATTTATGTAGCTGCTGCCGCTGTTGTTGTGGATGTTGTTGTCTGTTCCTACGAACCCCGACTGGGAAGCTGCAGGATCTCTCTCCAGCCTGCCAGGGATCTTGTCACCACGGTGGCAGCTGCAGGTCACACACTGTAGCAAAAAAAGTCCCTTTGGAGCCGTCCCACACCACAAGGGCACCACACGGGGACAGGCACCCGGGGACAGGCACCCGCGGGTGGGGAGTCAGAGGGGCCCCCAGAGCAACCTCTGGGAAGTGCCATTTTGAAACAGGAAGTCATAAACAAGGGGAAACAAACATGCCTGTAAACCTTAAAATATGTAAATCCGAATGCCCCTCGGTCATGCAAGACATTATCCTGCCTCCCCCCTTTCTGCATCCTCACCCTGCTGACTGCAGCCTCGGCCAGCCCCCAAATCTTAGACTGATTCCCCAGCTGAATGCAAGCACCCCCCCCCCGCGTATAACGTGTTATTCCGGCGGCCGCAACAAGACCCCCACGGGGCTGCAGGGCGGACCCGCTCCCCCCTGCGGCCCCACACGCGGCCGGCGGGCCC